GAGGGTCAGAGGGAGGAGCAGACTCCCTGCAGAGCAGGGAGCCCGATGTGGGACTCGATCCCGGGACTCCAGGATCATGACCCGAGCCAAAGGCAGTCGCTTAACCAACTGAGCCACCCAGGCGCCCTATCTGAATCCTCTTTGAACTTTAATCTAAGGCCTGGGAATGGTAAAACAAAACAAAACAAACAAACAAAAAAAAAACAGCTCCTCCACGCAATGTCAAGGACACACAATCCCCAGAAATTCTTGGGCACCTCCCATCATCAACCTTCTGGTGTCTCAGAACAGTCCTACTCAGAGAGGCAAGAGACCTAAGGCAGATGGAAGATAAAGAATAAACCTTCAAGTTTACCCTGGAGCTAACATGAGGGTAGCCTGATGCTGCTTCCTCAGGTGGCAGGGGTGGGGACTAGGAGCCTCACCACTTCTACTTTCCCTTCCAGTCCTCACCCCTCCCATACCTGCTGCTGGATGTGGATCTGGGCCAAGCGCTGCAGGCGGGCAGCATGCTCAGGAACAGCTGTAAAACACAACACGCACTGCCCGATGATGCTTGTGCTTTCCCCCGGGACTGCTCAATAGTCTATTAGGTCTTCAGCAGGATTAGAGTATTGAGTGGAGAAGCTAAGCAAACGCCAGGCTGCATCGACCACTGCAGCTAAAGGTGGTGGGGTTCCCTGCCCACCCCAGTCTTACTCTAGGACCCAGAGGCGGCGAAGATACAGGCTCCTAGGAGAAAACAAAACCTTGGGGTCCCCAGAGTTGCCCCATGCCCCCACCCCAGTGTTGTAAGCAGGGTGAAGTAAAGAAAGCTTTGCCTATCATGGGATCTGTCCCTTTGCTCTCAGCCCAGTGGGACCAGGTCTGCCTCGAAGAGAGAGCCTGCAGGTGGGCTGAGGATGAATGCCAAGTTCCTAAGCTAGACACCTGGAATCCAACACCCAGAGCCTTGGCCACCATGCTGGGCCCACAGCTTAAGGCTGTCAGACCCTCAGCAAGGGAGGGGAGGGGGAACTAGGAAAAAATACCTCCAGAGACAGACAAGATGGATATCTGGATTCAATTAAAGTCACTGTCTGCTTGTCAAAAGAGGCCCAGGGACTGCACTGGGAAGTGTGGTGGGAAGAATTTACACACATTCACATGCCTGGCAGAAACTCTTACAGTAATATCTGGGCTACGCAGCACCGTGCAGAACATATGCTGAGGGGGTGAGGAAGAAGGTAGAAGGAATACCCAGAGTTGGGGGCTGCTGGACTTAGACTAGTGTCCTTAGGTCCAAACTGCCTGAGGTTCTGAAACTGAACTCTCTGCTCTGGCCATTTTAATCCCAGTGCAGGTAGCAGGTACCCCCAGAGTGAGGGTAAAGACAAGGAGCAGACTAAGCTTGAACCCAGGGAACCTGAGGCACAGGGAAGTCCTGGCCATCCACCCACCTCCCCAAGCAGAAGAGTAGAGCTACAGCCCCAAAGAGGTACCTTTGATGTGAGCGCTGTCCAGCATGGGCACCAAAGCCTCCACCTGCTCCAGGAGTGCAATCTGGGATAAGATAAACTGCTCCTCTGAGGCAAAAACAGACAAGACAGTGGCAGTGAGGTAAGCCTGGGCACTGCTACTCCTATGCAAGGGGCTGAGGCCCTGGCAGGGGAGATGGCTGAGTCCTGGAGCATGGGCCAGCTACTCTGCCCATTGCCCCCTTCTCTAGGTGCACATTCACCCATTCTGCCCCCACCTCTCCTAGGTGCCTCTGGTATGAGCCATGTGAGCCCAAGGAGCCTCTAAATTTCTTCAAATCCCACCTTTCTTAAAGTTTTAACTCTAAGGCCTCTTCCTCTAGCCTCCTATCAACAAACTCAGTGATGCCACAGGAGACAAAGTACTTCAGACTTGGGTCTCCATGCCCAAGGACTCCTGGGAAGGTATGAAAGAAGAGACATTTGGCAGAATATCAGGCAGGTTCTGCTCAGTGGTCCTGACAGGCAAGCTTCTGGAGAGCTGGGGCAGTAACAGCAGAGCCCAGTGAGAAGAGCCGGATCTGGACTGGACCTGGCATAGGTGATTTCAATGGTTGCAGTGAGTAGGAAGCACATTCAAGAAGGGATGACTGTTGGGGCGCCTGAGTGGCTTAGTCATTAAGTGTCTGCCTTCGGCTCAGGTCATGATCTCAGGGTCCTGGGATCGAGCCCTGCATCGGGCTCCCTGCTCAGCGAGAAGCCTGCTTCTCCCTCTCCCACTCTCCCTGCTTGTGTTCCCTCTCTTGCTGTGTCTCTCTCTGTCAAATAAGTAAATAAAATCTTCAGAAAAAAAAAAAAGAAGAAGGGATGACTGTTATGTCAAATATTTGGAGGCAAGGATGCTTATCAAATAATAGAGAAAAAAGAATTCAATTGGCTGAACTGGTGCAAAGAGAGCACAGGAAACAGAGCTGCATGGGAACGTAGATCCATAGGCTATCGAAGGCTCTGAATGGCAGGCTAAGGAATTAGGATTTTATTCTAGCAAGGAGAGAGACGGAGATGCTGAGGTTCCAAAGTAGACAAAGTAGCATGTTGGAGATGTGTTTGGGGAAGAGGATACTGGATCACATGCAAGAAGGGAAAGACTAGGGTCAGGAAGAGGACTTAGAAGACTGCAACTATTCATGTATGAGGGGACAGACACTGAGGCAGTGGCCAGGGAGGGATGGAGAGGCTGGACTCCATAGTCGGTGTAGGAGAAGATCTCCTGAACGTGGTACCTGAGCCATGGCAATGGTTTAGGGATGTTCTGGTTCACCACCATATATACCTCACACCAAGGATGGTCTGGATCACAGTAGATGATCGATCATTAAACATCTTTTGAATGAATGAACAAACACAGGTACTTTGCAAACCTTACCTGATGGAGTGGCTGACTAAACTGAGTAGCAGACATTGCCAAGTCAATAGTCCCTGCCTAGAACTCCGAAATCCCAGTGCTTTCTCACATGAAAGAAAAATGTTGAAACTCATACCAATATTCTAACCTCTCCCAAATGCAATGCTCTGCTCCCACCCTTTCCTAGAAGCTCCCCCGTCTAGTGAGCAGAAGTGAGGAAGGTTCTACAGGAAAATCCTAGAGACAGACCACTGATAGAACACTGGAGTAGTGGGGCGCCTGGGTGGCTCAGTTGGTTAAGC